TTTTTGGCACGCAAAAATGCATGCCAAGGCTTAAAGCAGCAACAACGCTACACATAAAAACTGATGATGGTGGAAAAATACACCGAAACGTATTTTAATTGATAAATAGAGACAATAAATGACTGAAACCCAGGAATTAATTTTGATTTGGAATAAATAATTATAACATATTGTCTGTCGGTTTTGGTATGTTCATCCATTTTTATGCTGAAAGGAAAGTTGAATGGTTTGCAGGTAATGCCTTTTCCTCGAACCCGTTCCTGCCATAGCTGCTCGATGGCCAGCGGCAGCAGCCACGGAGGGCATCACTCTAAAGCCGCTCATTCTTCCTCGGGGCCGACTCACCCCAATAACTGTGATATTAAAGTCTGGTTCAACCAGAAAGTAGCGAACTGGGAGGAAAAAGGAGAGGATGGAGACTGCGACACCGATAGGTAAGTTCCAGGCAGCAGTTTCCATGAAATCACACTTCTTGTAAATTGTAGACATTCCTGTTCGAGCAGTCACGATACGACGTGTTCCTGCAGCGAATCTTCCTGCCTCTATGCGGAGGCCATCAACCCCGCCGGCCAAGTAGCACCCTATCCGAATTGCTATCCGAAGAGGCTGACCAAATAGGACGGACCTTATTGTATATATTGCGTGCGGACTGCGTTTTGAAACATGTAGTTTCGTTCCAGTTCAGGTTTGTAATGTCCGCTCAGGACGCACAAACGTGAAGAGCACAACTCAATAAGCCGCTGAAGTTGAGCGGCCCACTTTTGAAAGTTCATATGTCTTTTGGTTAAACAAATCGAGTGAATTTCAGATGAAGATACAAGGGTTTATGGACTGGGTTTTATCGCGTCTACATACAAGCTTGGATTTAAATTTGTACTGGGAAAAGCCAAACGTCCAAAAATGTTATTTTTCTCTTTCTCCAAACGGACTCAAGCCCCGACTACTGCTCTAAGTAACCTTTTAGGTGCTATTCTTATAATGGTTTTGAAACGAAAATGTTATTGTTCAAGAGCAAAAGCTAAATTCTTAGTAACATTATTGTTGCGAGGCCTATTTCCAGTAGGTTCCTACATGCATTGCATGGATCTTAGACAAGTTTTACGTTTTATAACTTGTAATTTTTCGAAACCCTATTGACTGA